ACAATTCGGCTTTTTAAATAATGTTCAGTACGGTACTAGTTTGTGAATATTAGTAACAAATACCATTAGCGTCACAGTATATTCTATGATATGGATAACATACATATAATATAAACTTAAATAGATGGCGCTGTTCATGTTTATAGACGCGGCGATTACCATGACCGTCAAATCACTTGACATTCTAAAGGACATGAAAGAGCCAATTTATCTAATTCGTTGAACTAACCGAATTTTTTCAGCGATAACAAAATCATGTCTAATAAAATGTAATACAAACATGTAATTCATATTCCATTTTAAATTGTATGCTTTACCAACTAAGTAATGATATACTGCGTAATTCAAACAGCTCAGGGCGATGATCCTAATGGAAACAACCTCGAGACAATTAGTCAGGACGTCAGCTCCTATTAGACTGGATATAAAATTTAAATTGGGTTATATTAAGTACGGAACCGTTATGACGATATTTTTTTTTATACAGCGGAACAATTTGACATATGGAGTTGTAATTATTCAATTAAATTGAGCACAGGGAAAATATATATACTTACCTGTCCCGATTTTGGACAGCGAGTAACGTGGACTGTTTTTTTTTTTCTTATTTTTTATACTACAAATAGAAGGCCAGGTCCGTACTACAGTATCGATCTTGGTTTACTCTCGCTCCGCTCTCGGTATGAACAGTTCGAGATTGATCGGAACTGGACTGGATTGTAGCGTGAATACACACATTGTGTCTTAGGGAATATTTTGCCAAATCGAGATCGGACCGAGAGCGGAGCGAGACCGAGATAGTTTTAGTGGGGATTCAGTATTAGATAGGTGGTAAAATAAATTATATAAAATATAGCCCTTATATAATTATATAAAATAAGGATGATATTTTAGCTCTCTATAGATTTTTTGGAACCAATTAAATATTTTTTGAATTTATTCATTAGATATAAAAAATTAGAACTCTATTTTTATAATATTAGTTTAGATAATTATCTATTATAATAGTTATTTGCGTGGGTACTTTTGTGCCTCCTCTCTCTGCAGCTATGTAGTAATTTTTTAAGTGTGACTTTTCTCTTACACTAATAATAATAATAATATATATATATATATATATATATATATATATATATATATATATATATATAATCTTTATCATTATATCAGCCATTAATTGACCACTGCTAAATATAGACCTCTTTCTATGGGGAGCTTTGCTAAGTCTTTTCTTACTAAAGTCTGTTCCGATAAAACTTAATCAAAAAATAATCAATTTTTGTACAAATTATCACAGAAACACTCTTTAAATATAATGAGTAACAAATCGAAGTCTTCAATCAATTAATTAACTTTTAACTTGTATTACTCTTGGACATCAACAAACTGTCTTCAGGACGGGCCAATTATTCGTTTACTTACATTTCCCTTAAGTTTTATTTATCATATCAACTTTTAACTCTCCACTACTGAACATAAGCCTCTTCTTTGGAGGGTTTTGCCAGTAGTTGCCACAATTAAAATTAGCAACCGCAGTTAGCTGCGCCCTCCCTTAGTCGCCTCTTAAGACACCCATGAGAAAGGAAAGGGGGGCCTATTCTATGCAGTGACCACACGAGACCGCATATTAAAACGCCATAATAAAAACATATTGTGTCATGATAAAGAAAACTGTTGTATTTTTTAAAAAAGATATATTCAGTAACATAATCTCAAAATGTTTAGTAAAAGGTGTTTGTTAACTGTTATCATTATAGGGATCATAATCAATCAGCATGCTCACATTTTGAAGAGCTTTTTGAAGTATTCAAAATTAGTAAGAATTTTGTTTAAAGCAGAGCAAAATCTTTTTGTTGTTTAAGTTAAACTGTAAATGTTTTAAGTATATTACATTAATATTTTTTCGTAGTTACCTCACATTCTTTAGTAACCTTCTAGTCATTCTTTCTGTGTAAATCGACCTAATCCTATGTTCTACGTATTGTTCTTTTCTCGTACTTTGTTCTTTTATTGTAATCCCCCATTTTACTTAGCAAACGCTCCTTTCAGCACAGAAACAAAGAGCGACTTACAACTATTACGTATTGTATGCTGCATATTATTTGCTTAGCTGGAGTTAAGCAAATATGTGCAACTTGATTATAAAAGTTAGAAGTTAAATTAACTTTTCATTCGAGATTGAAACAGACGGATATATTATACATATATCCGTTATTAAATATATCTATAATATTAAACAACTAAATAAATCAATTTGTCTTTACGCAATTCAATAATGTTTAACTATAAAAAAATACAGTACAAGAGACAGGAATTAATGTTAGTTTAAATATTGTATTACGATTGAACCAGATCGATATTATATTTTTTTTAAATGTTTTCCGTATATATATATGGCCTGGAATTATGCTAGCTAAAAGAGAATGCATAAAATAATTAGTTGCACCGAGAAGAGGAATATCTTAAATGAAAAAATAAATAAAAAAATATAGTAAAAAGGTAAATTGCTTTGAGGGCAACGTTCTTTATTATGACAAAAGCAGATTAATCTCAGCGTTGTAGGTATTTCACAGATTCGTACAAAGCGGTTTCCGTCATCCTTCCGATCCTAATGCAATTCGCTAAGAAATAGAACGCTCCTTCTGAGTATATATTCCTGGGCATTCAATCTAAGACTTAAGTCTATGGTGAATAGTTATTTGTTAGACACGCGAATGCCAGACCTTACCATCAGGTGAGGTAAGATCAAACGCGAACTAATCTTGTACTAAAAGAATCAAATTCAAATTCAAATTCAAAAATCATTTATTCATGTAGGACATTTTAGCCGCTTATGAACGTCAAATTTGTACATTATAATTTTATATTTACCCTACCGTCCAGTTCGGTATATAGATCCAATTGAGAAGAACTGGCAAGAAACTCAATTGAATTACTTTTTTTTTAAAGCCAGTTTATTTACAATGTATATTTATATAGGTGTCTATGTCTAACATTAAATGAAAATTCAGTGCATGAACAACTATTGCCATGCACACTCGTCATTCAAGTAATCGTTTAGTGAGTAATAGGCTTTGCTCAGTAAATATGATTTAACAGATGTTTTGAATTTATTTAAGGGTAATTCCAACATATCCTTTGGTATCTTATTGTAAATTTTTATACCTATTCCCATAAAAGACCTATTAACTTTTTCTAAACGATACTTGGGGACAGCAAGTTTGTCTTTAAATCTAGTATTAATATTATGAATATTGCTGTTTTTTGGAAATAAGTCAAGATTTTTATGAACATATAGAATATTTGAATATATAAATTGAGAAGCAACGGTGAGAATATTTGCCTCTTTGAATTTCTCTCTTAATGAGTCACGACTCTTCATACAGTAGATCGCTCGAACGGCACGTTTTTGTAATATGAATATATTCTTAATATCTGCCGCTTTTCCCCATAGTAATATTCCATAAGAGAGTAAACTATGAAAATAACTAAAATAGACTAATCTAGCAGTATCAGTATCAGTGTACTGTCTAACTTTACGCACGGCAAAAGCTGCTGAACTTAGTTTCGCTGCAAGGCTTTGAATTTGTGCACCCCATTGTGTTTTACTATCTAGTGTGATTCCTAGAAAGACAGTAGATTCTATAAATTCGAGAGATTCGTCATTTAATTTAATATTGCAATTAGTATTAAAACTTTTAGATAGAGAGAAATTAACACATTTTGTTTTTTTAGCGTTTAACATAAGATTGTTAGTTGTAAACCAGTGCAGGAGACGCCGCAAAGCACTATTTACATCGTCATAATTATTAGTCATTCTATTAACTTTAAAAATCAATGAAGTATCGTCTGCAAACAATACTATGCCGCATCTATCCTGCATGGCATATGGGAGATCATTAATGTAAACTAGGAATAAAAATGGACCGAGAATAGATCCTTGAGGTACACCCATTTGTACAAGTGACCCGTCAGACGTAGCGTTGCTAATCTTCACTTTCTGTATTCTATCAGATAGATAAGATTTTATTAAATTTAAAGCATTGTCTTTGACGCCATAAAAAGCAAGTTTTTTTAGCAATGTATTATGATCAACGCAATCAAAAGCCTTAGAAAGGTCACAAAAAACACCTATCACATCCATTTTAGTTTCCCATGCAGCAAATACGTGTCTAAGCAACTCTGAACCTGCGTCTGTAGTTGAACGACCTTTGGAAAAACCGAATTGACTATTGTGGATTAAATTATTTAAATTGAAATAACTGACAAGTTGCATAAGGATTATTTTTTCAAAAATTTTACTGAGTGCTGGGAGTATGGATATAGGTCTATAATTTATTGGGTCACTCCTATCTCCAGATTTAAAAAGCGGTATGATTTTACTAATTTTCATTATGTTAGGAAATTTACCTTCATCTATACATTTATTGAAAATAAAAGCAAGAGAGGGCGCAATAATTTCCATTATACTATCCAGTATTTTAACAGATATACCCCATAGATCCTCTGTTTTTTTATTATTAAGTTGTTTGAATATTTTCATTATTTCTACTGATGATGTATGTCTAAAGTTAAATACAGCTGATGACTTGCTAACATTGTCTGTTAGTAAAGTTTCAGCAGCAGACGGGGAAGATTTTAGAGCCTGTGTCGTAATTAATGGAATATTAGTAAAATAAGATTCGAATGTATGCGCGACCTCTGTGTCGGAATTTACCAATTTGTTATTAATATTTAAAGCTATTTTGCTATTTTGAAAATGAACTTTTCCAGTTTCGCTATTTATTACTTTCCAAGTGGCTTTTATTTTATCTTTAGATTTAGTTATTATTTTACCTAAATAGAGAGACTTAGCTGTATGACAAACCTTTTTAAATATTTTCGAATAAGATTTTACATGTTCATGAAATAAGGGATCGGATATATAGCTTCCTCTGTCTATTCTACCTGAGATTGTAGTTGTAAGCATAATTTTAATTGTCTAAATACTTTGTTATCAGGGGGATTGTCTGACGGTGAGGCGAGCCGTGGGCCAACTCGTGGGCGCACGTCGCGTCGCGACGATCCGCGTCGCCACACCTTGGCTGGGAACCATCTGTACGTCCACCCACACCATCCCGGACAGATTAACTCCATTGAGATGGAGGTAAGTTATTATTGCTACGTTTCAGTAAGTTACGATACCAACACTTACATTTTGACCTTACAATGTAATTGTCAAACCTAATTATCGAAAAGATTTTTGGTACAAGTTGAAATAAAAAACAAGCTGACTGTCCACCTGTAGTTTAGTACTCGCTCTTGAGGATCCTTAGGCAGTTCACTATTTAACTTGAAACATAGCCTTGCAAGCAAAGCAGCTTTACAGTAGAAATATTGCTAATAAGTGGAACGGAAGTACCTAGGAAAATTTTCCTAGAAAGTCTTCTATTACTTCAGCATCGATACTTCGGAAAAAGTCAAAATACAAGTATTATTTTCTCCGTAGTCCCGAGTCTTACGTTGGCTTGTTAGCTTTCTAACGACAATCCGTTTATTTTTTTATTTTACTAGCTTTTACCTGCGACTTTGTGTGACCGGGATAAAAAGAAGCCTATATTCGATCTCTATCTCATATAGTGCGTACCAAATTTCATAGTGATTGGTTACGCCATCAAGACGTTAAGAGGTAATAAACAAACTCACTAACAATTTAAATAATTCTAGTTTTAAAACATGCGACCTCTATAGCAAATTTGGTCACTACCTATTTGTAGTAATATTTCAGAACGTAAATTTTACCCAAAACATATGTCTATTAATGTTCGAATAGATTTGTACAGATCACCATAAATGTAGCGAATCAAAAAGTTATATTTTAGTAAGCGTAGCAATTCGTTCAACTACTAGTCAAAACATTGCCGGGATGAAGAAATAAATTAAGTAAAGAAACACTTTTATTCATGTTTAATTTATTATTTCAATCGTATTTAACCGGGTTATCTTCAAAGGTTTATTTACAAACATACTGTACATTCCGTATGAAATGTTTATCCAATATGAATTCAAAGCTCACCAATTGTGAATCATCACGATCGCGAGTGAACGTGTAGGGAATAATAAATTTTTAAGGTAGATAAAAAAAAAGTATTAAAATTAAATAATACATTTTTCATTCTATTTATAAAAATGATTATCGATTATTCAAAAAGTGGAAGCAGAAGTTGAGTTTTCCTCCAAGAGATTCGTAGAATTTTTTTATCTAATCATATTTTTAGTAATTACTTTAATAATATTTTATCCATGATAAAAACATACATACAATAATACTGTATTAGACAAATAAAAATATCCATGAATCATTTAAAAATACCTTTTATTTCGTTTTCTCATAAAAGAAATTCTTATGTAAAGGAAATTTAATGAACTTACTATAGTCGAATGCTTGAGTACCTGTCCCATTCGTGTTTCAACCGTAAAGTGTGTTTGCATGGCTAGTTTCGGTTTGAAGGGGGGGGGGGGGTATGGCGTCAATTTACTAGGTACAGAGGAATAACACCTGAGTCCTCAGGAATGGCAACGCATGGGGGGTATCATGGGCGAAACTGTATACTCTGTTATGTCCATGGTACCGCTCATGTCTATAGGCGACGGTTACCACTTTCCATCAGGTGGGCCGTCAGCTTGTTAGCCATTCTAAGTTGTATAAAAAAAATATTTAAAATTTCCAACAACTGTTAATAAAAATAAAAAGTATAAAAGTGAAGAAATGTGAGTATATATCTCGGAAAATACTTTATTTTACCTTAGATATAAAATTTAATATTTTACCTCGAGCGACGTAGGTACATTGAATACTGACCACAACATAAAGCGCGAGGCGACTTATACCCTTTTCCGATAATTTCATTAATTATTTTGCTCTCTCCTGATAATATAATCTACATGAGGAGTTCATTGTTATGAAGTAAAAACAACTTCATTTTAAGGTTTGGTTTAATATGAGATTAGTTTAGAACTTAGTTAACTAAGGTGGTATAGTTTTCTTCATGATCAGCCGTTAACTGTCCACTGCTGAACAATGCCTTCCCTATAAGGAGAGTTTTGCCAGTAGTTTGCCACGCTTGGCAGGCGGATTCGCAACCTCAGTTAGGACTTTGTTTGTATTTTTTAAGAGAAACGCTGATGTCCTCCATCATGAGTTCCCTTATTGGCTTTCATAATCAGGTAGCATATCTTATCTATTTGTACTTTAAAGCACTGTAAGTACTGTGCTTATTTTTAGTCTATTAATTATCAGTCTAAAAAGTAAATTAGCCATCCAGTGTATAATGGAAGGGCATGATACAATTTTATTCTTAGAAGTGGTAACTCATGATAAATATATTTTTAGACTCAGAGTTGTCTGAAATAAATAAATAAATAAAACTATAGTGTGAAAACATAATAATTACATAATTTTAAGTATTTTAACAATAAAACTGATTTATTCTTTCTGAAAAAGACATGAAGTAAAAAACGATAAAAAATTAAGACCCTTTTACTGACATGAAAGTTTTATATGCCATTGTAATACATTTAATGTTTCTTTATGAAAAATTTTTAGTTTAACTAGTAAAACATATACTTAATCAGTTTTGAAAAAATTTAATGCACCATACATGTGCATATAAAATCAGAACATGGCTCGGTAGTAATGGGACCAACTCAGGAATATACATTTTCGAGTACATAATATTGAAACGTTTTTAATTTCACAACTTTTAAAATACACGTCTACGAAATAAGATAAATTTTAATCGACCGACGATTTTAATGTTTATAACATAATTGAATGTATCAGACTAGATAAGATACATTTAAACCACTCTCTATAGACTTAAAGAATGTAGATCTGAGTAAGCAGTGAAGATTGCAATGTAAGAGTAAGATACAATATTCCGTCAGAGATCGTTTGCAGATTACAAATTTCTTAGAAACTTAGCAGGTCGCTATTTAATCTACCTTCTATTGCTAATTTATCTTGCTACTGTAAAATGTACTATATAAGATACAACTTAAAGCGCAAATTCCTTTAAAGACCACGATTTTGTCACAAAATTCTGAATGGACCAACGATCTCTTTGTATTGTATTATATTCAAAGGAGACTGCTATATTTCTACGTTCAAGTCACTCTCTAAAGACTTGAAAGATAAATAATTGAATAGGGAATGTATACCTAATATTGCAGTGCAGATAATCGTCTGTAAAATTGTCTGTGAGTCACAGATATAAGCTTTTCATTTTGTCAAAGATTTTCATATTTTATATTTTCAAAACTATATTATTTTTATATTATAATATAAAAAAGCAATGTTATCCTGAATAACTAAACCGAGAACGCTGTATAAGAATAAAATTAACTAAAATAAACATTTTTAAATTTACCTACTGTTTTAAAGTGATTATATATATAAATGTACAAAAATTTTACACTGATCATATTAAATACTAATATATAATGATTGACTGGTAGAGAATGCCATCAGGCATTAAGTTCGCCCTGTAGACATATTGTAATGTATGCAAAAGTATAAAAAATGAATAAATAAATAAGTAAATAAATAAATATAATATGTGTTTTCCCCGAAGTAAATGAATTTGTATCGTTACTTTTTACTAATATACTTGTTACTGTTTACAAAATAAATCTCTAATTAGATATGGGAGATATTTAAGAAAAATTTGTATAAGTATGCTAAATAAGAGCAATAGAAGAAAAAAACAATAAGATTTAAAAAAAAATCTATTTGTCTGTTTATTCCGGCATTATACAAAAATTACTGCACAAAATTATTGTATTCAGTGTACTTTTGAAAATCTAAATTAAAAACTGAAGTATGTTTTATCTTGATATGTAATCTAGAAGTGATTTATTTCATTGGTTTTCCTATTTCGGAAGTCTCTTTTGATTATTGAAATTATTTTCTGATCTCAAGAATGTTGTGGATAAACCATAACATAAAGTCTCTAACTGGTGTATATGTATGAACCACTCTGGTTAATACTGAACTATATTTTCTTGAATTATATTATAAATAAAAATAATACTATTTATTATATTATGTCACGGTAGTTTGTTTGTTTATTATAGATAAACTCAAAAACTACTCAAATAAATTTAAAAATTCTTTCACCTATACGTAGCTACATTCAGCGAATAACATAGGCTATATATTATTTATTTATAAAAATTAGTTTCCTACGAAAATTACAATAATGTAACCCAAATTATCAAAAAAAATATTTAATTAAACCTAATATAAAATAGTACCTAATTTATCTGAATCGCTAGGAAATAATATTTTGAACATTTAGATAACAATTAAGTTTATGTTCCACTAAAAAAAAAAAAAAAACCGATTTCAGTTATAGCAAAACCAGTTATTTTATTTAAAAACTAAATTACTGATTTTAAATTATAAATATTATTAGAAAAAAAAAAACTCTATTAGGATCGCATTTACACGTATTAATTATTATATGTATACTAATTTTATTTTATGTTATTTAAATTTTCTTCACTTTTGTTTCCTTTTATTCTTTCTTGTTTTCTTTTGTTTTTTTTTTGTTTACTTTCATTCAACCTGATCTGATTACTTTTGTTCAATTCTTTTCTTGTATTTATCCTCAGCAATACGGACCTGTCCAGAGAGCAATGAATGTGCCAGAATACGCGGTCGTTACAAAGTACAGAGAATCGAAGCCAACCCGGATCCTAGATCCCCGATCGAGAAAGGTATGAGATCAAGCACTTACGATCTCACAAATCATCTCATTAAGATATTTACTAACCTGTTGGTGTATATGTTATTAATGTTGCTTTTATATGTCACTGAGGTGTACGGATTCTAACAGTTATTGTAATGTAGAAAATAATTTTCATTTTTGAAATTTCTCATGATGATACTAATAAGCGAAATACTAAACAGACTCATGAATATAGCAGAAAATACTACAAGGCTTGGTGGTTGGTTGGTTGGTTGGCCATGGTTTTCTTCACGCTTTGCTATTTTAAGGACTAAATTATTGCGTCATATCCGGTCATTTTACTGGCATATCCTACCCCTTAAACCGACGGGTTATAGTAGCGGGGTGAAAGGAATTGTTAGTAACGGGTCTAACAATATCAGGTCGACCTCCACGCGGTTCCCTCTAGAAACTCTCCCTCATAATGGGCCATCTGAACTGCATTCATCGTCACTTATCGTCTCTTACTTGTTTCCCGCCTGTGTATACCAATAGTGCAAACGGGGTTACCATTCCATCTACATCCATTAAAACAACAGCGCTTTAAACCGAAACATAGCCATACAAACACATTTGTGCTCACATGGCTGTGTTGTATGATAAAAAAAGTATTGGACTCCCATACAGACTACTTTTGTATAAAGTTTCAGTATATTGATCCGTAGAAGATAAAAACATTTAAAGAAAAAAAACGCAACCCCGCATTCGATACGTCCTATATAATCGTAATAAATACATAGGTTAAAAATTGTACCTTCCGATCCAAATAAATTGGAAAAGGTAAGGCAAGAATGATTTATTATTTATTTTAATTTATCTTTTTTCTATGTAACTTAGAATGGCAAACAAACTGACGGCCCTCCTGATAGAATGTGGACATAACAGAGTATACTGTTTCGTCCTTGATACACCCCATGCTTGCCTTTTCTGAGGACTTAGGTGTTATTCCTCTGTACCCTGTAAATTCACTGCCATATTCCACGCTTTAAACCGAAACATAGCCATGCAAACATAACTGCTTCACAGTAGAAACACAAATGGGGCAGAGGTGCCCAAGGAAACGACTTTTGTACAGTCTACTGGTCTCTATCTGTTTCATTTCTTTAATTCTCTAAACTAACATCTAATACTACATAAAAAGCTGTGTATTTTAACAATTTGCATTATCATATCGTAATATTTGACTAACAAATATAAACAGGCCCACTAACAATATGTTTTTATGTTAGAATAACGCTGTAAATCCTACTAAATAACAAGTAACAATATATTCTGTGGTCGCCTTTGTGTCGGTATTAAAATCCCTCATGCAAATATCGGCCTGAAAATTGTATTTGCAACTTCTCAAGTAATGTCTATTACATTACTTGTGAAGACGAGGGTTTAATAGTTCAGCAACTATTTAATAGTGAATATGAAATTGGGTTTTGTTTAGCTTTTAGCGACTTTCAAAATATAAGGCTCTCGACTCGTCTGTATTTTTTTGTAACTATGTTTTGCAATTCATAGAGTTCACTTTCATAGTCATCATGATCTTCATCTGCATGCCCTTATTCCGATTATTTGTTGTTGTCGTAATATATTTTCGGTGTTTACTTCTGTATTAGCTTATATAAAATCCTTTTGAGATATTTTAGTGTGCAGATAAAAACGGGTTGCTGCAAAATAAAATCTACTCTTACACACACAAGTCCGAGTTCTAAATTCAAATATTTTTAAAATTACTATGCTTCTTCATTTTTTTTTTAATATTGTGGAATCATGAACAAAGGTAAATTCTACTTGTCTTCTCTTTCAAATTTAGGGACTTAGTATATTGTTTCTGATATGTGAGATTTCATTCATTAACATTTTAATAAAGATTATTTGCAATTTAAGCATTGCTGTTATATCTAATAGGTAAGAAAATAAAAATAAAAATATATAAAAAGTAATTGAGAAGGAAAATCCGGAAAAAAATATTTCAGAGCAAAATAGGGGAATAAGCAATAAAATTATTCGAAGAGTTCGGGTAATGTTAAGGTAATGCTGAATCAACTGAGTATCCCTAAAGATCAGACTATCTTATCTCAATCAAACGTTTGATGTTTTCAGCAGGTAAATGTAAGATTGCCTTTATGTTGGAATTAGTTGAACTCGGGGCTTCGTTCAAACTTCTATCATAATATAGTACAGCATTTTTCCACACTTTTATTATTTTATTTCCATCAACTAGTATCGTCGTGTGATCCCGTCCCATGAGTGTCGTAAAAGGCGATTAAGGGAACTTAATGGTAAAGCGATGAGCAACAGGGTGCTTCCTAAAATATCACTAAAAATCAAATTACGGTTGCCAACCCGCCTGCCAATCGTAGCAACTATTGGCAAACCCCCTCTTATTGGGAGAGGTCTATGTTTAGCAAGCAGTAAACAATTAACGGTTATAAAGGTAATGATGACTCATATTGTAATTTAGAAGCAACATTCTAATTGACGATTGGGTTAAAAAAAAATAACGAATTGACTTTTCGTATGATCTCTAAAAAGGGAAGGAATTTTTAAGCACACTAAATTTAAAATGTAAAATGTAATTGATTACCTTACATTAGCTTAACAAATAAAGAAAATTTAATTACAAACAGTTCAATTGTTTTTGACTAAGGCTAACATTTTAAATGTTAGCCTTGGCCAAAAAAAATTACTACTAAAAATACTGCAAACTTTTAAAAATCATTTTCAATCCAATATCGCGTGTACAGTACACCAATAAATTATGTTCCCAAATATATTTAATGTAGAGTTCTGATTTCATTAAGATTTTATTTTATGTAAAGATTATAATTATAATTTTGAATACTGTATTGTTTTTTATACAAACATGCTGTCGGTCCGTCTGAGAGAAAATTGCAACAATCGCCTATAGACATGTACAGTATCATAGATTTAACTGAGTATACGTTTTTATCCACAATACTCCTTATACGTTGCCATTTCTGACGACTATAATTTCATTGCTATATTGCACTTCAAACCAAAATACAGCCACACAAACACATCAACATTAATGCGACAGAAATACTCAAGCTAACGAAACTTTTGTACAAAGTCTCACTCTGGTACTTTTGAACTTGGAAAGCTACTGATAGAGAGAGAAGTAAGACTTTAAGGCATTGCTTGTTCAGGATGCGCTTTGCATGTACTTAAGATATCGTCATGTTTCGATTCTAACATACTTCAGAGTTTGAAACTCCAGTGCAAGCAAATATTCAGGTTGTGTAGCAAATCTTACATGCTGTGCAAGTAGTTAGATTTATATATTTATGTTCTAAAATATTTTTTCTCGTTTAACTTTTAATTTTTTTCTAACTTCATACACACCTATTATACAAATATTTTATTCTCAGTGTTATGTGAATGGAAAATGTGATAAACCATTAAAAGGATTCGGCAACGGAATTGATTTAATTATTAAAATATATAAATTTGTTACTTTGTTCAACGAATTCAAACTTTCCACACTAGTGAATATGTTTGGACATTGTATAGCTATCTCTTATTAACAGACGAAAGTAAATTAAATACCATTTCGTATTATAGCTTCAAGAGGCCTCAGGATTAAGGTTGCCAGTATCATAATCCTCTTATGAGAAGACTTATCAAAATATATCGATGTTTCGTATATAGTATGGGGCCTTTAGACAAGTGGCAAGCGAACTCGTTGATGTAGTCGACATCGCTAGCGAGTCCATGAGATAGAATGAGATAGCAACGCCGGGTGACTCATTCCAACTCACGGACTCGCTAGCGATGTCAATTCCATCGACGAATTCGCTTGCCACTCGTCTAGAGGCTCTGGTATCTCTATAGCTACTACCTTCTTAGTGTTAAAACTGAATGCCAGATATGGGAGAGCGGGGCATGATGTTACAAGGGTAAATAGTTACACGCATTTTTATTAGAATTTTGTACCCTTTGGTGTATAATGTTAGACCTAATCGGTTCCTTATAACATCGCGCTTTACTTTTTATTACCAAAAGTGTAACAAATGGCCCTGAACCAAGACCAAACCAAGTTGTTTAATTGACTCTTTTAATTAATTTGCTCGTTATGAGAAAATAACGAAAATTTCAATATTTTTTTATTAATATTTTATTAGCTGAATAGATATTTTATCAACAAAAATAATCAAATGTATAAATTATATGATAGGCCTTTCCATTTTGACAATTATGAAAAAATTTAACAACGTGTCCTACTCTCGCCTACTAATGAATAAATAACAGAATTAGCACGTGTATGTTCGTTGTTGAATAAAAATAATTCTTTAAGTATCCAACTATTTATTATAATTGTCAAAGAGTATTAATATTGTTTAAGGTTTTGATATTTGTACGTCTGTTGTTTAAATACACATAAACGACTAGATGAATTTGCATATCCTTACTATACTGAGTCTTGTGAGCAAAGCTGCGAGAAACAGTAATCTGATAGAGTGAAGAATATTTATTTTTCAATAGCTATTAAAGAAATATTTTTGTATTGTTTAATGTTATTTCTGGTAAATTTTAATAAATAAAATAAAAAGGAAAGGTTTGAATTTTTTTTGTAATGGATAAACTAAAAATTCTTAACCTATGTTAATAATACTTTTATCCATAGAAAGCAACATTATCAGAGATTAATATGAACTGTATTTGATAAAAAAAAAAAACATAAATCTAGAGTAAATTGCCAGATGCCAGATTGCCAATGCCAATTGTAATTACCAGATATTTCTGGTAATTACTAGAGGATCTGCTTCTAACCAGATTTGAATGATATTCAATACATAGATGTACCATATCACTGAATAACATAATAGGAATACAATTTCCAAAACAATTCACAGCTCTCAACTGTATTTCAATATACACATTACGATATCTTTGCCGATGACGACGATTATTTTTGTTTTAGACAAGGCCTGCTTCATACTGGTCCAATACTAATTACAATTGGAATCTATTTAAAAAAAGTCCTCAATACGGAATTATTTTCGTAAATAATATGCATAGATTACCTATTCTATCATCGTCATCATATCAGCCGCCACCTGTCCACTGCTGTAGACAGACTTCTTCCTCAGGGAAGTTTGCCAGCAGTTGCCACACTTGACAGGCGGGTTGGCAACCGCAATTAGGCTTTGGTGATGTTTTAAGAAGGACGCTGCTGCCTATCCCTCGACCTTTAAATCCCTTAGTCTCCTCTTACGATACCCATGAGAAATGAAAACGTGGCCCATTCTATGCCGGGACCATACGGCCAATACTATAACTGTTATAATTAAAATATTTATAAATCGAGAAATATAATTTGCGAATAAATCTAGACTGGCCATATAGGATAAAATAATAACATAAAATAATTACAACCGCCTATTTAATTTTCATTTCGCCTTACGATTGACTGGTAGAGAATGCCGTTAGGTGTTAAGTCCGCCATATATAATTGTGCATTAAAGTTTAAATAGATAAGACAATATCATCATCTCAGCCATAGACAATAGATTTTAATATGATAACTACCGGTTTAACTTACATGTAATTTGGTCGAGAAAGCCCGACTAGTTTCGGCACCATTCGGGACCCTTAATCTTAAGGGGCTTTGATGCGAATGCTCGCAGGCTTTCTCGGCCATATTATACGAGTATGCAAGTTAAAAGTTAAAGTTGGTTGGTTATTCTATTAAAATATAATATGTACTAATAAAACTTTTAACAATAAAATATAAATAAATAAATATAGTTACAAGATTTTTATAGTTCGTTTACTAACTAACATAAAAACACATGGTAACCCTATTTATGACTATTGGTGAGATGTGTTTCTCAATGTCGATATCCGTTGACGTAACCGCCGAAAGCGTGTATTGAGTTATCGGCTCACATATGAGTTTATTTGTGTAGCTCGTCCCTTTGTCGGAACTATGCTCAAAATATTTTATAAGTATCGATACTAAAAATATTAATAATTGAGTTTGTTAAATTTTTTTTTTATATCACAAAAGTAAAGGCAAATATACAAACTATATGATAAGCGATTCCTTACCTTTCTTCAAATATATAATTCTTTATCCCCATATAACCGTAACAAGATCTATCTATTAGAATCTAGATGCAAAGCATCTAGTATGAAATGAGAAAGCTGAAGTTTCGCTTAATATTACATGCTAGCTGTATTCCGTGGCTTTGCCTGCTATAAAGTACCAGTATGCAAAATTAGAAAATAACCTACCCGTATACCAAATTTAATTAAAATCCGTACAGCAGTTTTTACACGAAAGAGTTACTATACATACATCTGCTATAAGAGATAAGCTATTTTAGTAGAAATTTAATTGGGTCGATCAATTCAGGCTTTCTATATGGTTTGACTAAATTCTATTTGAGATATATCATATCTATAAGCTTCACTATAAACACAATTGATTGAACGGATAATTCGAGTTCTGTGCCAATTACCGGTTCAGTCAAATTCGTTATCTAATTATTAACCAATACAAAGATCGATCTAGTATCGTTTGGATTCGTAATTCAAGAGTTAGATCCCTTGGACTTTTCCGATAAATTAATATTAATGATGGATTCGAAGCGATTACGTTGCGCAAGCTATTTGACATTTTAATTGCAAAGCGGAATATTATCCAAACTCATTCTAGCTTTTTATTAACACGAAAAGAATACAATGTTTAAAACAGTTTTTGTACTTTGTCTTCATATATTTATAGTATGGCGTCATACATTAAACGAAGGCGCTCTTTCTTTTGTGTTCTAAGACGGATTAGTTTTAAACATTCCTTTTTCAAAACTATTTTTTCCTTTTTTAAATAGAATCAAATTCAGTTCTCATCATTCGTAGAAATTTTAAATCCAACGAGTATTAGTGAAATTGAATTCTCTAAGAGATTTACGTGACGTATTGCATTCATGAGAAAATCGTTTTATTACGCGACTAACTGAAAGGGTGAATAAAGTTTTACTTCAAGTATATTTATACAAATATGAATACACAATTATACAAATGTATGTATACGTCTTTGATGCAGTACGTAGTTGAATACTGTGAGACTTTTCTTAATTTAAAATTTAAAAGCTAAAGAATTATTTTTACCAGTAACCCAGTAGATGTTTCGAACGTGGCAAAGACTTTGGATCACTGGTTATTCCTTAAACTGTATTCGTATGATGACAGTATGATGTAAAGTTAGCAGGTCTAATTTTCCAAAAAATTACGGAATATAACAAACGGAATATATTTAGATCGTATTCAAAATTCTCTGTCTGTTATGTACTTATTTAGGGTGTCCTGTAGTGTACTTTACTTGCTATTTTTATTAGTTTGTTTGCCTTAAAACTAGCAAACCGAATTAAAAGGAGTTCCTTATAACCGATTCTCCTAAAAACTTGCATTAAATTTTTGTTCCAGTGACAACATAATATTCAATATTGTCATATTTTCAAAATGGACGTCGTTACAAGATGGCCAATGGTATAGGATTTTTCAACTTTACTAATCTAATAATATAATAAAATAATATCTTTCACATAACCATAAACCCCAGAGTCGATGGTTTACATAAGCTTCTTTTTAAAAATGTTGTTAAACATATTTGGTTGGTTTTGGTTTTAAACATACAAAGTTTTTGTACATTAGAAATCTCACTGGTGTTTTCTTTACAGCCACCCTTACCACGGGGATACCCACCACCGACAAATGCCATGCTGTTCGACGATGACCCTGGCATCATGTCGGAGGTGGAGACAGCATCTACTGGCTTCCGTCGCGGGGGGAAACAGAGATCGTCGCTACCAGTTGTGCGAACACCGAGTAAGACACTCGAGAGACCTTTGGGTAAGTTTTATTTTTGTAATAGTTTATGAAAATAACCACTCCCCAACTTGTTAGTGGATTTGAATTATTATAGTTAATTCCGCTGTCATTAGTATGCGTCCGATTGCCAACACTCGAAGACTGAGCACTATTATTATTACGAGAAGTTCTACAACCTTCCATATTGCCATTAATCTCCGACCGGTATTCAGTTCACGCACATTTTGTGAAACACATTTAACCGTTCGGTGCCCAAACTGCGACCTATTCCAAGCAGTGATCTATTAACTTGCCTAAAGATGCTTCGTTTAGAGAGGCGAATACCAAAATAAATAAAATAATTCTAATTAACTAACAAATGATTTCCGCAAAATAACACCTAGTTCACTAAAATATTTACTCCCCAATTATTAGTAGATGGGTAGTGGGGTCCAAGTATGAAGATAGCCAAGATAAGATGCATGGGCGGGTAACCAGTTTAGAACAATAAGTGCGAATGAAAGCAGGTCAGTTGACTATATCGTGACGAATTCAACAAGAATGAACCACGATAGTTTCCTGAGGGAGCTGCATGGAGATCAACCTAAAAGGGTTGCGTTAACAATTAGGTGATTTATCAATATATCCATTATGGGTATTAGCAATAAACCCATTATTAAACGGGGAAACCTGTCCCGTGCCTAATAATTCCTTCCCTTCGCCATTCCAACAAAAGGCGTTCAGCTTGCGATCATTACTTTGATCGCCTGCGTATACATTTATTCACGTTCCGTTTGAAAACCCGGGGATTGTAGATTTAAGGATTGTTAATTTTTAATGAACGAAAATAGAATGATACCTCGCCCGCTCTATTGGTACGTCGATGGAGCACCACTGAGCGATAATAGACGAAGATCGAGTCATTAGCAATTAATAAATATACAAATTACTTCCTTATTGCACGCCACGTATTAACATAAATGTGCACTCGTATATTACGAAGGATATATGGATTACCTTATATTTTACCCTTAATACCTCATATTACATTACATAATGCGCATAGTAATGTTACATTACATTACATAGCGTATGTTGGGGTTTCATAATATAAGCGGTTCATGCCACGAGGTGAATTGCCAACGTATTTTTTTCACATCGGGGCAATTCACACTTTTCGAATCGTATAATTTATTTTTTAATTATTTTTCATAGACAATGGGATAAAGTAATAAATGTCGAATACTATTCCAAATTTGAACACTACACCTCTGTGACTTGTCAATTTTTTTTTATTTTATCGACTGATTTATAAATTTCAGTCAAAGAATAGAAAAGAAATTCCACTGCTGCTGTTTTCAAACGAATGTCTTAATTTAATTTGAATATACCTAAATGATCAAATCACGTAAAAATAAAAGTAAATATTAATATAAACCCACGGTGAATTATTAACATAAAATGTTATTTCATCGTATTTAGTTATTTTTCAATATTTAAATAGAGCGCCAACCCTATCATTTTAAATAAGAAATTATTAGATATTTTCGTCTGTAGCGAGCTGCTTTTCTTTGCTCTGAATGCATCGTTGGTTGCAATCGCCCTTCAAAATGTGGTTTATTTTTGTAAACCCGATTCTCTGACGTCACTGACTGTCAGTAACCTCGTCCCCCTAAGGGGTCACTCGTACACAAATTGATATGACAAGTTAAAGGTGAGTGCTTTATTAAATTTGTATATTTGCAATTACACAAATTAGAAGAACTATTGAGGTCAGAGGAGAGAAAATGTTGAGGCAAATGATATGCCACGATGAACTTATGAACATTATAATACAAGGTAAGATAGAAGAAAGAAGAGGAAAGGGAAAAAGTCGGTGTTGTGTCGTATCAAGAGGTGAAGAGACTCGCTGGAAATCGTGACAAGAGCGGCAGCTCTTAAATAGGAATAAATGAAAGAATTTATAATTAATTATTCGCCTTGCAACAGCGTCTTTTTTAAAACACTACCAAAGCTTAACTGCGGTTGCCAACCCGCCTGTAACGCTAGCAACTACTGTAAAAGCCTCTCCAATAGGTAGAGGTGTGTAATCAGTAGTGGGCATTAAAAGGTTCATATGGTATGGTATATTCGCCTTCTATGACGGGATTCTGATATAGGTATGCTCGGCGAAATGTGAAATGACTAGGCCTCTAACTCGAAAGAAAGGGATTATTAGTAATAGAGTGTAACAATATATCCTATTAAATCGACCTCCACGCGGTTTTCTCAAAAAACTATTGTGGGTAATTCTTGTTTAATGCGTCAGGATGGACCAACTTACCTGCTTTCATCTTCACTTATTAACCCACACTGAAGCCCCGCCAGTGTATACCACTAAAAATCTCTTTGATTATCCTATTAGTTACTAGTACGTTTATTATCTATTTAAAAAAAAAAAATCATCGTCATTTGTATATTATTGCTATTATATTGATAATTTTTATTACATGTTTAGTATTTTTCATTGATTGTACGTATCCTAATAGATGCTCTAGAGATGTGGTCTTGGCGGCGAATGCTGCAAATATCTCTACCTACCAAATTAACTATGCTATTCTGAACGAACTAAAATTCAGAAATAAATTATCGTCGATATGGATTTCTCTAGTACATCGGCCATATCATATGAAATGAAAACTGTATGGAGCCTCTAATTGTCCAAGATTCAGAACAAGGCAAACGTTCTCAAAGTAGATCATCAGCGCGATGAGCTCATGCTCGACCTTATCAAAATGATCACACAACAATCCATTGTGGAATGCTCTCGATCGGCCGTGATCAGATATAAATAAGAACGATCCTCAGTCGTGAAAGAGAGCTCATCGTCAGTTCACCTTGGTCATGAAAATAATTTTTTTATACCACTGAGGTGGCAAACAAGCATACGGCTAACCTGATGGTAAGCGGTTACCGTAGCCTATGAACGCCTGCAATACCAGAGGTATACGCGCGCGTTGCCGCCCCTTAAGAAACCTCTTTACCTCCCTTTTGAAGAACCCCATGCTGTAGTCTCTTGGGAAAACCTCGGCAGGGAGCTCATTCCATAACCTGAGTGTTCGTGGGACAAAACATCTCTGAAACCGCGTTGTACGCGGCCATTTAGACTGTAAGGTATGAGGGTGAACACCCTGTCGATGGCGAGCCGTACGATGATACAAAGTGGCTGCAGGCATCATATTGAATAATTCCCCTGAGCACAATCCGTTGTATAAGTGGTAGAACACGCAGAGTGAGGCAAAATCTCTCCTAATACTTAAGGGTTCGATACTGCTTGCAAGCCTGGGATCTCGACAATTTTCATAGCTCGTCGTTGTACTGAGTCGAAGGGTTCAAACTGGTATCTTGATGCTCCCGCCCATAATTGACAGCAATACTCTTTATGGGGCCGGATTTGCGATTTGTAAAGCATTAATCGCTGATCCGGCATGAAGTAATGCTTCGCTCTATTGAGCACATCGAGTTTTTTGGATGCCAGCAAATATGGCCAATCTGTTCATCAAAGTGTACAAGTAAAGAAAGACAATACCACCGACTTAACGACAAAACTAAAAGAAAACATCTCTCTTTATCTTACCTTACTAGTTCTACTGGAACTTCATTTAATTCGATTATTTTTCAATTGATTTCTGAATTTAATAAAGTTAATAAATCCGGGATAATTACAATTTTTTTTCTTATAATAATTACGGGGAAAAATGACGAAACGATAAAACAGAAATGTAAAACTTATTATAAACATACGACTAATATTCAAGTATCGCAAGTACTCGAATATTGTATTCGAGTACCGTGTATCTGAATTCTGTCAATTAGTCCCCGAATGTCTGAGATCCTCTTAGGTATTCGAGTTAGTACACGAGTAAGCTTGATTAAGCATATCACTACCTCTTACAACATCCTGAATTAAAAAAAAAACTGGTGATATGTTGTACTTTCACTCGATTACCAAAGAGAAGCTTTTAATTAACTGAAAACTACCGTTTATGTATTTCACATGCATACGTATCAAGGGCTCTTATCTCTCTAACAAATTCGTTTCAAAATTCCGATTGCATTTAACATTCCATCTCAACGGCAGATGAATTTATGAAATCCTATTACACCATCTGCCAAACATTGGATTATCAATTGTCTAAAAACAAACATGCTCATGACTCTTAATATCGAATGAGGTGGTCAGAAGCCCTTATCAGCTGTTAACATTGTGAAATATGTAATACTCAATATACCCACATTTTGCCGAACATAATTAGAATGCAACGTGGCAAAGACGGATTTATCGTTGGTTTATTTTCCCTCACTAGATAGTTAAAAATTAACTTTAGTACACTCTGAAATTCTGAAACTCTAAATTTCTCTGTTTCAGCTCTGAACTAACGTCCTTTGTTAGACTAGATCACAATGTGCTCAAATATCTATTTTCTCGGCATCCAATGGACTTATGATATCCTATTCTAATTAATGTTAGCGCTCCTTATATTATCTCTGACATATATTCACGAATAAAAAAAGTAATTCAATTGAGTTTCTTGCCAGTTCTTCTCAATTGGATCTATATACCGAACTGGACGGTAGGGTAAATATAAAATTATAATGTAAAAATTTGACGTTCATAAGCGGCTAAAATGTCCTACATGAATAAATGATTTTTGAATTTGAATTGAATTTGAATATCCCTGACTTATATAACCTGTATTAAATCGTCAACATTGCCATCCAACCTATCTTCTGTCTACGTAAATTTGACTGCATTTCCATGCACATGCCACGGACTAATTGGCACGATATACGTCAACTCTCAACACTATTCTTTTTACCACATACATACAGTGAGATATCAAAGGAATTTACTTCTGTGATCGCCCAAAATATGGAATGTGCTTGTGTTGAAGTTTTTCAATTTTTCAAAAAACGGCGTATCTGTTAATAGTTTTTCAGGGATGGAAACGCGTAGGTGACCTTTTAATATTGCAGGCAACGGTAACTGTCTTCTATCTATCAGACGGAATGTAAGCTTTTTTAGCATCATCCTTATTAAAATTATAAATGCTAATGTGTGTTTCATTGTTTATATATTATTTCATAGCATCTTAATTATGGAATTAATCACTATAAAATTTGATATTTTCGTACTATATGAAATAGGTAAGGGCATAGGATATATTTACCTCTTACTGGTTACGTGGAAGAATTCGCGGATAAAAGTTAGTTATGATATAATAATAATATTGTGATGAAGTGAAAGTAAACCGTTTTTGGAAATTTATTCAGTTAATTCTCGTGTTACATTCTCACTACGAGGCAGTACAAATGTGATTGTCTGTCACTGTACTATTAACTGAGTTTTGCCTGGCATCCCTGGACATGCCCATTAGAGTTTTAAGTTCACAAGCCTTCATTAAATCTTTATTGAGGTTTTTTTTTCTAAAGAGATGCAAAGAAAGGTTTCTCCTTGTAGTACCTTTTCAATCAGTGAAAGCTCTATATTATTTTATAATTTCTCACTAGTATACCGCAGACAGAGTTACCATTCCATTATCATTCCATTAAAAATGCAGTAAGAGGTAGTTACCAGTTCACAAAATCTATCCTTATTAGGAGATTGCTAGGAATTTATTTTGGATTCTAAATCAAATAATAAATAATAATGAATAGCAAAATGTGTTGCTAAGCGTAAATTTCGAATGAAAGAACATACGGTTGAACTCTTTTTTTTCAAACATGTGTTGACGTCCAACAAAGATTTTTATGAAGAGAAATGTTGCACAAGCTGTTCGTAAAAATGTTAAAATCCTTGTTTTCTTTGTCCTATATAAACTATTCCAAGCTGCCAATTCAAACTACATGGTTTCCTTTGTATGCAAACGGCTGCCACAGGCATAGCTTTTGACAGAATCACAACTGACGCTTTAGCTAGTTTTAAATAAAATTAAATGTGTTTGAAAGTAAAATAATACACATACATTGGTAAAGAAACAAATATTCGAAAAGTGATATAAAATGTATTATATCTCAACCGTATTCGGACTCAACAAAATTATATTGATATAATTTTCGAATTAAATATAGTTGACTGATTATGAAGTACCCGTATACTTCATAGCCAGCCAGCTGCAAATAATAAATACGATTATCGAAAATGCAATGAAATTGCACACAACACTACACTGCAATGCTGTGCATCTTGAATATAAAATTGCAACTACATTTTTCATGATAGGAATATTTTTAATTAAATTTTATCCGTAGTTTCGTCTGTAGGACCTGGTCTATCAATAATTGAAATAAATAGTGACATTTGTCCTCGACCATTACATGTAGTATAATTTTCATTTCTTATTATTCTACAGTATTTAAAGAGATAAATGTTTTCAGTGTAATTACATGAAAAATGTGCAATTTTATGACCCCCCCCCACCCCTCCTTCCAATCCTAATTTATATTATGTCCAGGAACAGCACACTTATATCTAACCAACTACATTAACTTAAAACTAATTACTAGTAGCAAAAATAATTATTAAAATAGGTTAAGAATTTTAGGACGCAAAAGCTTCCAAAGAAATATTAAGTTTTTTTTAGAACCTCGTTATTATAGAATTTGCTTAAAATATAGACTCCAGATCTATAGATCCGACTCCTCTATGATGTTTCTCATTTACTATCGAAGTCGCTGTTTTTTGCTGTACAAAATTTATTTATTTTTATTGATCAGTTCGCAAACCGTATGTTTTTAAGCATACTGCTAATCAATATATACACAATATTATATATATTATTATATTTGTGAAATAGTATGCATAAAAACTATCTTTCTGAGGGCGTGGAATGCAAGTAAAAAATCAACGTTCAATTACACTTCAGCTGTAAAATCTTTTAAACAACCGTCAGTTAATAAAGCTAGCACTCGAGTTAACTTACTCTGTAAAACCACTCGTAACCTTATTTATTTTATGACCAATTAAGAACCTTTTAGGCCTTTCAGCTTTGAAAGGTGTAAATGAAAGGGTGTGATCAGTGGAAAATAATAGTATTTTCTTGTAACATGGTTACCTGTTTAGTATTATTTTGTTGTTTATTATGTTTGAGCGGTGATCAATCAGTCATACAGCGCTTCACTGTTGTGATTTCAAGATCGAATCTTTATTGAAACTTTTAAAAATTATTGACACTTTTTGTTTTAGACACATAAAACCGTCGTCCGGTATGTCACGTCAAAGGCCTTCATGTAGAACGTGGGTGGCTTAGAAACTTTTGACACCGAAGGGCGATACTATCACATAAGTAGTGGTAGACCTTTAACCATAACTGGATACAAACAAATAGTATAAAATTATAAAAATTAAAGTATTAAACACTAGCGATGCGACCCGGCTTCGTACGGTTAGACAGAATTTTTGAGAAATTTATATATAGTTTAGGGTACTCGCTGATAATGTAGCTTTCTATAGGTGATAGAGTTTTTAAAATCCGTTGAGTAATTTTTAAGTTTATTCATTACAAATAATCAAATCTTTACTTTTTATGATATTAGTAAAGATGCAATTTGAGCTAAGTAACAAGATCCATCAGTTGTAGTGGCTAGAGCAGACCAGTGCCTGCAAACAGTACCGAATCATGAGCATGACTGATGAATTTGAAATTTTAGTTCTTACTATATCTTCAACAATTCTTGACTAGGATTAGGTGACTTCAAGTTCCGTTTCCAGTCTAAACCTCCAACTTTTTTAATTCACGTTTGGATGATTTAAACATTTTGCTTTATAGCATTGTATATAGCAAAGATGGCTGAGAAATCTTGATGGTTCACTTTCCAGTCCTTTCCCAGTCCAATTTCAGTAGTAGTATTAGATTATTTAATTAATACAATTTCCCTTTCTCCACAGGTCTGGTATTTCTGCAGTACAGGAATGAAACGAAACGAGCATTGTTGCCGAACGAAATAACATCAATTGATACTGTGAAGGCATTGTTCGTGCGAAGCTTCCCCAAGCAGCTCACAATGCAATACATGGACAGCCCTATGGTCAAAATATATATCCATGACTCATCGAAGGACATGTTTTATGAACTAGAAGATGATAGGTGAGTTATTTTTTCTACTATACAGTTTTAACATCACTTTACCAGCGAAAGACTGTACAGAAATCGACTGCAGCGGAACTTCTGTCCCAGTTGTGTTTTAGCCGTCCAGTGGCTGTGAGTCTTCAGAAATTGTAATACACAAGCGCCAGAGTGCTTTCTGTGATGGCCATCGTTATCATTATCATATCAGTCATTAACTGTCCACTGTTGGATAGAGGCCTACTCTATAAGTGGGGGGGGGGGGGGGGGGGTTACCCTTAATTACCCTGCTTGGTAGACGAATTGGCAACCACAGTTATGCTTTGGTGATATTTTAAGAGTGACGTTGCTGCCATCCCTCAATCTTAATAATTGAGTGATAGTCACAAATTTTCTTAGTCGCCTCTCACGATGCCCATGATAAAAAAGGGATGCCCCTTATGGACCAGGCCTATGTTCAGCAGTGAACAGGTAACAGCTTATATGGTAATAATACCTAGTATACCATGTATTACAAGGTACCTTCAGACACCTGGCAGTACGACCCAAAGTTACCATTTATAAGCAATCGGTTAAAACAAATGAGGTCGAATAAATATCAGCAATTATTTACCATTTCTTTACAAACTACATTATTAACACATAAAATCCATTAATGCTACAATAAAATAACAAATTAATGCATTGTACATATGAAATATGGATTAATAAAATTAAAACTTAAAGTAACTGATGTTGTCATTTTGAATATTATATTGTTTTGTTTTATAATAATAAAAACTTGTAATATAAAGAGAAGTGAAATGGTTAAAGGGAAGATCATTTTTGTTTTTCTTTTATTTTCTTAACAAAAATATGTTTATTATATAATTTACAAATTATATTAGTAAGATAATATAGTTTTTATATATTTATAATTATACTTATACACAAATATGTAAAAAATATAATCTGTTTATCAATTCTAATTGAATCTGCATACTTTGGTCTCAATAGAAATAATATAATTTCTAAACATAAAATTGCATTTTTTCTTACTCTTGGATTTCATTGGGAAATAAATGAAATAGAGCACTTTTAGATGCCGTATCAACATAAAAAATATACAGGATTTTAATTAGACTTTCAGGAACAAAACTATGACATTTGTGTCCAATTTGGTACAGTAGCTGTTTCGTAATGCCAAAACAAATACACAGACAGACAATTCTAAAAATTACTGTTTCAGCTTCTGTTACTATATATTATACTTATAGTACTAGTTCCATAGAGATTTTATTAAAATTGGTTTCGTAGATTATTTTTTGAATCGAACTAACTGGTTTGGTCAGTTGTAAACCGATTGGGAAAACTCTTTTTTTATTTCAGTAGTACTTTATACTTAAAGTACTAATACTTATATTATACTTATAGTACTAGTTCCATAGAGATTGTGTTAAAGTCGGTTCCGTAGATTATTTTTTGAATCAAACTAACTGGTTTGGTCAATTGTAAACCGATTGGGAAAACTCTTTTTTATTTGAGTAGTACTGTATACTTAAAGTACTTATACTTACTATATATTATACTAATAGTACTAGTTCCATAGAGATTGTGTTAAAGTCATAAACGTACATTTAAGGATATTTTCTATATACATTATTTATGTTTTTAAGTATAAAAAGTATATAAATATTTCTATCAGCTGCTTAATGCATAAATAAATAGCGCTGTCCGATTTTTCCAAGTTTACTATTATAATACTGTGCTGGCAAATTTATTGGCCAACCAAAAGAAAATAGACGTCTGCTTTTAAAAATTCCCATCACGAAAGGTTTTTATGCTAATATACGCCCTTCCGTCTATCCGTCAAAACTAACTTCTGTTCAAAATAAAATATTGACTCGGAACACACATGTTATATGTAATATGTAAATTGTCCACAAGAAAATCTTATTTCAAGTCGCGACAAAATAAGATCTAGCATCTGAACTAACAAACTTTTATACCTACTTTGTTGAAGGACAGAACAGAATTTTCGTCAGGTATATAAATAACTACTAATTTTACACACAATATGTATGTGTACATACATATCTATCACGCCTGTCTCCCATTAGGGTAGGCAGAAACAATGGAACGCCAAATGCTTCGATTCAAACAAACCTAATTTTATGTTTTTATTTTTTTATTTTGGTACAAACAATAATTAAAAAAATTTATCATCATCCTACCCTTTTCCCAATTATTTCTTGAGTACGCCGACCCCAATATATAATATGTTTTTCTCATTAAAAAATTCATAGTTACTTTTTTATGTTATATAAAAATAGATAACGAGTATCGAATCATATTTAACACAAGAATAGAAGTTTATGTGGCCACTTGGCTAAAATGAATCATACACATCTATGTATAGATGAAAAATAATAAAAAAACCTACAATAAAGTAATATACTAAAAACATAGATACACACAGAGTTGTAAATAATGAATATATAGTTTATCAACAAACACATTCTTTAAACATAATAAGTAAGTATCACAGTAGTGTCGTGTAATCCCGGCGTAGAATGAGCTACCTCTTTCTAAGGAAATTTAATGGTCGAGAAATAGGCAACAGTGTCCCTCTTAAAACATAACCAAAGCTTATTTGCGGTTGCCATCCCGTCTGCCAAGCGTGGCGACTACTGGGGTTTACCCAAAAGGAAGAGGCCTATGTTCAACAGTAAAGCGTTTATGGTTGATACAATACAATAATATCAAACTAAGAATAGTAATACAAACTCTAAAAAACAGCTGATATTATCATTTAAATACATTTTTTTTTTTTTTTTTTTTTTTATTTTATTATCAATAAAAATACAAGTTACAGAATTTATGTTCCATTAGCATTTAGAAACCACGTAGGTTTATATTAATACTAAATACATTAAAATTATTTAGATTGTATTAAAACCATGCAAGAAGTATCGTTTTAATTTACACTTGATGTTGCTAATAGTAATATTATCTCGTACATCGGTGGGTAGTTCATTAATAAATCGAGGAACCAGGTAGTCAGCCGTACGCTCACCATAACAGTTATTTACGCGAGCGCTATTGGTACAAAGTTGCTTCCGTGCGACCGCCCTCGTATATACAGCATGATTAATTTCGTTCCAATATTTATTGTTAAAAAAGTTTTCCTTAAGAAATGTGTATTTAAATTGTAGATGTACAGGTAAAATATTGCAATGTCGAAAAAGACCAGTATCATCGTCATAATACTGCATCTTAATTTTGGGAGATACAATAGTTCTTAAAATTCTACGTTGAAGTTTAAAAATATCATTTAAATATGTTTTATAAGTGCGGCCATAACTTGACAACCCATATTGAACATAAGATTCGACCAATGAATTATACAGCATCAGTTTTACTTTAAAGGGAATTCGGTGTCTAAGGATGACTATATTAGCTAAAAATTGTCTTAATTTGTTACAAATTTTTTCGATGTGTTTACTCCAATTAAACTTACTATCTATAGTTAAGCCAAGATATGTTTGGCTGTCCTTGACCGTTATAGCGGGGCAGCTGCAAAAGTTCCTTTCATTAGTTATATGTAGACACTTGTGGTTGTGAGCAATGATAGGTTTATATAGAGGACGAAATTTTAAATAGGGTGATTTTATGATCAAAAGTTGTGTTTTAATTGGATTTAATACCAATCCGGCATCATGACACCATTCAAGAAGGACATTGACATCAGATTGTAGAAGGTCTCGTGCTTTTTGAATATTTTTGTCAGACAATACTAGACACGTATCATCTGCAAATTGGTAACATGAACTGTGTTTCAAGATATTATGCATATTATTAACATAAGACAAAAAATGTAGCGGACCTAATACAGATCCTTGTGCCGTACCTTCAGTTACTGGTACATGATCACTGTATACATCATCTATTTTAACGGTGAATTTACGATTTTGTAAATAGTTCTTGCACCAGTTGAGTAAAGGCCCACGTACACCAGACTCATCAAGTTTAGTAATTATTTGTGCATGTTTTAGGGTATCAAAAGCACGGGAAAAGTCTATGAATAAAGCCAACACGTATTGTTTTTTATTGAGATGTTCATTAATCTCATCTGTAAATTTAGATAACAGCTGACTAGTACTTTTACCCGATTGAAAACCAAATTGATTTTGGTAAATTACATCTTGCTTACGATAAAATTTATGAATTTGTTCGCAAACATATTTTTCAACTATTTTGTCTATTGTAGAAAGTAAGGTAATGGGACGATAGTCTAAATAATTATTTCTTAACCCTTTCTTAAATACCGGTCTAACACAACCAATCTTTAGTTCATCGGGATATACGCCAGTTTTAACACTAGAATTTATGAGGTTAGCAATAGCTACCGATACCGCCTTACTAACTATTTTAATATCTGACACTTTAATGTTATCAAGACCTGGAGCTTTTCTATAGTCTAATTTATCGATAATTTTATTTATTTTTTCACTTGAAGCTTTTTGATAATAAATGCTGCAGTTAGTTTGTTTACTATAGCTTCCTGGATCTAAAAGTCTGACAGTACATTTCGGAGTGATATTCTTCACTGCATTATCAAAGTTAGTGGCAAAATTGATGGCGATATCTTTATTACTTAATCCTTGTGCATCGAATGCTCTAAGTATCGCTTCATCTATTGATAACGTTACACGGCCTAACATTCTGTTTAGGATTTCGTAAACTTTTTTTGTGTTTTTAAAGTTATTCTGTATTTGTTGAATATAAAAGGAATTTCTTTTTATTTCTATTATTTTATGTGCTTTATTACGAGTTTTATTATATTCTAATCTTATCTTAGGATCATTTAAGCTATTTTTCCAAGATCTAAATAATTTATCACGCTTTTGGCACAATTTTGTTACATTTTTGTCTATCCAAGGTAGTTTTAATCCTTTATTATTTTCTTGCCGAACAGCTTTCATAGAAGTTGCTACTTTATTAGCATTATTAAAAGAGCTATTAATGAATTTAAAGATTTT